AAAAAAATCAACAAAAGATAAGTGTTAAAGTTTGCAAATGTCATTTAAATAAAACAAAAAACAGGAAACAAGATGCTAAGATTACAGCACAGGCTCTTTTGCCAACATTTTTGATATGAGCCTTCCTTTATCTAACTGTAGAACTTATGATGAATCAATATAACTTTTTGTACTCATAAGAGTTTTCTTTTTTACTTACACTGTGATTGTTATACTCACCCGTTACTTTGGGGATTCCTTGCAAACGAGGAACTGGGAGGGCTACTATAATCCCAACATTCGTTCCAACCAGTAACAGGCCATGGCATACTAAGAGGCTAGTCACCGAAACACGCTGCTGTCCTGCAAGATGTAGAGAATATTACATTAATTCCAAACCAGATTTTTTTTTGCTGTTTATGGTTGTACTTGTAAATACGTTATTTAATGAATTCATGTTCTCCATATCTAAAAATGTTACTGTGGTTTTATTAGTTTTCCAAGCTTATAATAAATCACTATAATACAAGAGTCACTTAGCCAAGCAATAATCTATCCCATTTTTTCAATTTCTCATTCATGTTTATTTGCAAGACTCCAGCTTTTTTTATACAACAACAACAAACAGTGAATTCACTGAGAATTCTGAACACTGTTGGCTGGAGAAAACTAATTCATGACATGAAATACCACCAGACATTTCATTCTGTGCTTAAAGGAAATTGCTGATGGCCCTTAAGGACTGATGCTAAAATTAACTATCAAATATTCATAAAAAGGAAAGTCATGTGTTTGGAAAGTGGAATTCAAGAGCATTCTATCAAAACTGGGCAGAGGGGCAACCTTGAATGAAACATGAATGATGCCAGAATAAATAGCACCAAATATCACAGCTCTAGAAAATGTATGAAAAGACCCAGCCCTATTTTTATTCATGGAAAAATGCCTTATGCAGAAAACAACAATAAAACAACTACCTATTGTTTTATAAGCAAGAAAATATAAACTAAGGAGTCATAAATTCAAGACCCCCCAATACTGTACTTTGAAATCAGTGTGTTCCCAACTTATGTGTAAATCTGGTATTGTGTCACTTCCACAGAAATAAAGAATAATAATCAAACATGGCCTATGGAAATGTCTTCATAATGGTCAGTTGCAGCTGTTTTCCCCCCTGCTTTTTCTGATATTTGAAGTGGAGGGCATGAAGATCTGCATACATGTAATCCTGAAATGGCTAACACACAGCTAGAATGATAATGCTGCTGATAGACTGAGGAAGTTCTATGATTCTAAACAGCTTGAATCTGAGGGAGGGGAAGTCTTTTCTTTCCTATTTTTAGTTTGAAAAACAGCTCAAAATGAATACTCCTATTTGGTAGATAAGTAGGAAGGCAGATAGGTAAACAGATAGGCGGACATGGCTGCCAATCAATGTAAGACTCTAGATAGCTAAAAATAAATATGTTTTAAATTAAAATTAAATTTAAACTAAATTAAATTTTAAATTAAAAAGAGCGTTACCCGATAACGCCCATTCTCTGAGCTGTGAAGAGCATCCAGAAGTGGAAAGTGCTTCAGTCTCTTCTGAAAAGGCTGGGCTTAAAACTCCAGGACGCTCCTCCTCCTCCACGGGACACCTCCTCAGCGTCCCCCAGTTTTGCGAAGACTGAGTGCCAAAGTCTGGAACTTATCACCTGATCTAGATCCCTGGACTGGAATGGAACCCCACCAGACGGAAAGAAATGGGTGGGGCTGGATGCTCTTCACAGCTCACAGAGAACGGGAGTATCAGGTAAGTACCAACGCCCTTTCTCCCATGAGCTGTTCAGAGCATCCAGAAGTGGGACATACCAAAGCTTGGCCTGTCCTTAGGGGGGGACTCCGTCTGGATCGAAATCCACTCCTAAACTCTATGGACCCTCTGCAGGACTCTTCTGCCAAATGAAGCGTCCGCTGTGGCGTAGACATCAATTTTATAATTTCTGACAAAGGGCGATAGTGAAGCCCAAGTCGCCGCTCTGCAAATTTCATCTATGGAAGCCCAAGTGGTCCATGCTGTTGATGTTGCCGCACTCCTTGTCGAGTGGGCTGTAATGCCCTTAGGAACTGAGATGGACTGGCATTCGTAACTTTTAGCTATGATGGTTCTCAACCATCTACCAATGGTCGTTGACGACACCTTGTGTCCTAAAGTGGATGGGTTGAAGGATAGGAATAGAGCCTCAGATTTTCGAAATGCCGCTGTGTGGTCTAGATAGATGCTTAACTCCCTTCAAACATCAAGTCGATGCCATTGATGCTCCAGTCTATGAGATGATTTTGGACAAAAATTTGGAAGCACCAACTCCTACGCTCTGTGGAAGGCTGGATTTACTTTAGGGATGAATGATGGATCCAATCTGAGAACCACTCTGTCCGCATGAAACACGCACAGGTTCTTTCTCATTGACAATGCTGCCAATTCAGAAATCCTCCTTGCTGATGTGATCGCAATTAAGAAGACCTCCTTATATGTCAGGAATTTGAGACTAGCGGTTCTTAAAGGCTCGAACGGGCCAGTTGTAAGTGCGGTTAACACCTTGTTGAGCTCCCAAGTGGGATAGCGGTGAATTACAGGAGGTCGTAAGTTTGCAGGACCCTTAAGAAAGCTGCGGACATGTGGATGATGCGCTATGGAACGAAGGTCACCCCAGGCTATCACCAAGGCTAAGCCCGCCACCTGTCTGCATAAAGTATTTGGAGATAGGTCCTTGGTCAACCTCTCCTGTAAAAAGTCCAATAATTGTCCTATTGATGGAGCAGTTGGGTTGATCTTAGGCCCCCAGCACCAGCGACAGAAAGCGGACCACGTGGCCTCGTATATATGATTTGTATAGGACTGTTTGGATGCTTGTATGGTGGCAATGGCATCCTCTGAAATCTGTTGGGTCCTTAAACAGTTCCGCTCAAGCTCCATACAGCTAGGCTGAGCCATTGTGGGTTGGGTGAAGTACCGACCCTTGCAAGAGAGAAACCCTTGACGGTGGAATTTTCCAAGGTTGTTCTCTTGTCAGGTCCTGTAAGTCTGCGAACCACGTTCGCCTGGGCCAGTAAGGGGTGACCAATATCAATTCCGCTCGTTCCTCCAATAACTTCTGGATCAACCTGGGTATTACAGGGAGTGGGGGAAATGCATATAGAAGTCTGGGAGGCCACTGACATCGCAGAGCGTTGACGACCTCCACCCCCTGATTCAGGTACCTTGAAATATACCAGGGCAATTGGGCGTTGAGGGGAGAGGCAAATAAATCGATCACTGGTTGCCCAAACCTCCGCACTGCTTCCTGGAAGAGAGACGGGTGTAGGCACCACTCTGCCTGATCTATTGTGGCCCTGCTGAGCCAGTCCGCTTGTGTGTTTAAGGCCCCTGCTATGTGCTCTGCCCTGAGCAACAACAGATTGGCCTCGGCCCACTTGAACAACCTGGCTGTCTCCAGCATCATAAGTTTGGAATGGGTACCCCCCTGTCTGTTTATGTGGGCCTTGGTTGTGATATTGTCTGTCAAGACCAGAACGTGACATAACTGGAAGAGGGGTAGAAAACTGCGTAACGCCAGATGAACTGCTCGCATCTCCAACAGGTTGATGATTGGTGATTGTTCGTAAATAGTCCAAATTCCCTATGCAGTGTGGGATTGGAAGTGAGCTTCCCATCCTACTGGGCTGGCATCGGTTATGATCGTTGCCCTGTAAGGTTCCTTGAAAGGACACCCCTTGTTTATCGTTTTTTCCGACCACTAGTGGAGCGATCGGAAAACATTGTGTGGTACTTTTATCCGGACGTTGGAAGTGGCTCTTCCAGATCGCTGGAAAGGTAGCAGGAACCATTGCAGATCTCTAGAATGGAATCGAGCCCAAGGCACAATGGAAATACAAGAAATCAGTTTCCCTAACAGCTGAGACAGAACTGCCAGGGAAACCCTCTTTAAGGCTCTGATCTCTCTGGCCAAAGACTGGATACTATTCAACCTGTCCTGAGAGAGAAAAACCTTGCCCTCCACGGTATCTATCACTGCCCCTAAATGAACTAACCTAGTTGAGGAGATCAAATGGCTTTTATCCCAATTTATGGAAAAACGTGACCTTGAAGGGTCTCCAGGTATCCAAATTTGATTGATATCTTGGTATCCAAATTTGATTGATGTCTGGAAGATGACAAAATTAAAATATCATCCAGATAGCATTGTAAATGAATAGATTTGATCCTCAGGGAGGCAGCCAAAGCTGCTAGGACCTTGGTAAACATCCTAGGGGCCGAAGCCAGACCGAATGGTAGGGCGATATATTCGTAGTGCCGATCACAATAGCAAAATCTAAGATATTTGTAGTGAGAAGGTCTAATTGGTATATGTAGATAAGCCTCTGTGAGATCTATAGAGGTCAAGACATCGTTCTCTCTGATGCTGAGCAGAATGGACTGGAGAGTAGTCATCTTGAATTTTCGATAAACCAATGATCTGTTCAGACAATTGAGGTCCAGAATTGCCCTCCAGCCCCCCAAACTCTTTGGAACCACAAACAATATAGAATAACAGCCTTGACCCCATTGTTCAGATGGGACTTCCCTAATGGCCGAATATGCAGAAGATGACTGACAGCCCCCTGCTTCAACGCTCTCTTAATGGGGTCCGTGAACCTAGGACTCCTAATGAAAAAGTTCTGGGGGGAGGATTGAAACTCTAGCGCCAAACCAAACCTAACAGTGTCCCTGACCCACACATCAGAGGTGGAGCTGTCCCATTGATCAGCAAACAATTTTAGCCGCCCTCCAATGGGAGCTGCTGTCAAGGACTCACTTGGGGCAACGAAAAAATCTGCCTCCGGTACCTCTGGGGTTTCTTCTGTTTTGACCTCCCCCCTGACCTCTATTGGAAGATTCAGACCTATCCTGTCTAAAACTGGGCCTGTAGCCTGATGTTCTCTGCGATCTGGGAACGTATGGACCTTGATAGTAGGGCCGAAAGGAACCCCTTCAAAATGACTGGGGCGTTCTGTTTTCAGACCTCCGAAAAAGAGGGGGAAACACTTTTTTCTTGTTCCTATTCTCAATAAGCAGGGGCTCCAAGACACTGCCAAATAATTTATCCCCCGATATTGGGGCTGATGCCAGCTTGCATTTATGCTTGGTATCCGCCTGCCAATGTCTGAGTCATAGCAGTCTCTGTGCTGACACATAAGATGCTATGGCTCTAGACGAGAATTTGACTGCATTAAATGTGGCGTCGGCGGAGAATTCTGCCGCTGCAATAATCTTAGCAATGTCCTGGTGGGCTCTGGCATCTGACGCCGGCAATATATCCCTCAAGTAGAAGAGCCTTCAT